GTAGTATACATAATAAATCAAACAGTATATTGAACGTGTAGCTTTCCACACACACACACACACATATATATACAGGGTGGCCCATCACTCACTGACAACTTAAATAACTTTTGATCCAGTTAATATTTTTAGTTGATTTTTTTTTTAAATAATAGTTATACGTTAGGTCTATAGCTATATCTCAATAATTAAATTTTTTTACATTTTATTAAAAATATTAATTATTTTAAAATTTTAAATAAAATGTAAAAAAAAAATCTAAGATAGCTATTTTGTAGAGTAGAATTTAAGAAAAATTTTAGTACAAAAATATCTTATTAATATTCAGTAGTAAATATTCTGTAGCGTTTTGAAGTTTGTAAAAATTTGAATTTTCATGTACTATTTTACGGTATTAAACATTGAAATACTTATTGAGAAAAGGACAGAAGAAAACGTTATCTTTTCAATATACTTTTGAATGAGAGTGATAAGTAATAATTGCCTTATCTAATTTCTTATCATGGTATTAATGCCAAGTTTGTAATGTATACACATTATCATCAAATGTATACACAGTAATCATGAAAAGATAGTTGTCAGTGAGTGATGGGCCACGCTGTATATATATATAAAACTAATTGTTTTAGAATCTATATTAAAATTGTTATAAATAAAATTAAGGTTTTAGGTGAAAAGCAGGTGAGATAGTGATAAGTAATAATGATTATTATATAAACTAATAACAGTTATTACATTTTAAATATTTATTTATTAATCATTAATAATTAATAAACCCCAGTAACCACTTATTGTGTTACTGTCATAACCTGTGTAACTTAAAAAAAAAAATAAATAAAATTTATATACATGTTATTATTAGGATATTTAACATAATTATATTAATTATGTAAAAATATTTTTATAGCATCATTTTTAAAAGTGCTATCTGCCATATACAGAGTGGTCAATAATATTTTGACAAATTTAATAACTTTTGAATCAGCCAATACTGTTATTTTAATAATTGTTATACGTGAGAACTTAAAAATTTAATAAAAGTTTTTTTATTTATTGAGAAAAAATTTTTTTATTTAACATTTACGAAAAATTTCAAAATAATTTTTAATACAGCCATTTTTTAGAGTATATTTAAAAAAAAATTGTAAAATAGTATCTTAATAATGATCAGTAATGAATTATTTATCTTGGCTTGTCCGACTTGTCTCTACTTATCTGGATTTAGTCGTCCACTAAAACCAGCTACTACTCAACCAAATTGCCTTCTGAAATTACTTATCAACCAAATCGATTTGTTATAACGTGGAGAAATTCTGGGTTTCTGAAACGAGACTTGTTATTTCACTAAAATACGTGAAATTATGGTAATATTTTTGAGTTGAATAAATAATGATAACATCTAATTAACTAGAATAAGTTGTGTGATTGTTAAACATATAATAATGTTAACTTTATAGAGGATTTATCAAGGTGAATAATTAAGTTTTATTTAATAAATATTATTCAAAGTGGTTTATTTGTTTATGAATTGGATAAATTCAACACGTTAAAATTTTTATATAAAAAATATTTCATTTTTAATAATATTTTATAGTATGTAATTTTTTTAAATGGGAAAATATTTTCTAAATTATGAATAAAATCGAAAGAAAGGTGTTCAAAAGGAGTTAATATAATAATAAATATTACAAAACAAAAATGTTTGATTAACCTAAAAAGTAGCAATTAATACATTAATTATAAAAAGATGAAATGTAATATATATTAAAAAATTACTTTACGAGTATTATTAAATATTATTGTTTTTTATTCAGTGATTTCTTGAAATGAGTGCTTATAATTAAACAATAACAGGTAAAAAGTTGAGTAAATCGCAATTAAAACTAATAAGCTATACAATTAATTAAATTGAGTTAAAGAAGGTTAGTAAAGTAAATAACAACTGGGGTAATCAGCAAAATTATGTCACACTATGATATGATCAAACATGATTTAATGATTGGAAAACCCAAAAACGTTGATTATATTAATAATCGATGTACTTATAAATTTAAAAATTAAATTAAATTATTAATTCATTAAAAAAATATGATGTGTACTATATTTTATAATGTTATAGCTGATTTATCTAAGAACAACGTGAATTACTACGTAACGGAGAAATAAAAAAAATTAAAAAATATATTTTATTGTATTAAATTATAATTTTAAGTATAAAAATAATAATAAGCTACTTTTTATTTCAAACGATTTTATGACTGTGAGGTGCAGTTTTTAATTATTTAAAATTTGTCAACTCCAGTAAAATATAAAAATGAATGCAAACGACAATTTTTGTATCAAATATTTTGTAATTTAAAATAAAACAAAGGCCGGTTTTTTGACTCGTCATAAATAAATAATTACTAATTACCTTCACTAAAGAGGTCTGCTATCTTCTATAATTAGAATGTATAAGTCCAATTACAAGCGCTCATTCAAACGTAGATAATTTTCTTAAGGTTACAAACCTGTAACTAATATTTAACTTAAAAATATTTCGTTTTTTATTAATCTTATCTCAATTAATATTTCAATGTTTAATAACGTAAAAATAAAACATTTGAAAATTCATTTTTTTCACAAACTTTAAAATACAGCATATACTTCAATACTAATTATTAATAATATATTTTTTTTCTTAAAATATACTATACAAAATAGTTATGTTTAAAATTTTTTTTTTATTTTTTGTAACTTTTTTTTTAAATTTAAACATTTATTTATTTATTTTTTTTATTTATTCAGAATATTTTCAATCTATACAACAAAATGGTACAATAAGTAAATTTGATTTAAATTGATAATTAAAATAACATGAACTATTATGATTGGGAAATGACTCATTAGTCACACCTCTAGCATGTTGTTTAAGTTAGTCTTTAGTTATTTAGTAGATCTCTATTCCATTGTCGTTTTAGTCTGCGAGGAGGGTTTGAGGGTAAAGTATTTGTTGACATTTTATTAATTAGCGGGTTTCTATGTGACAATAAATTTTGATGAAATTGTTTGTAGTACATTACTGCAAGTTCTTTTACGTTTTGTATTTGTTAAAATTTTTTTTTTAAGAAATAATAAAACTACTTTACAATGTTTATAGTCCCAATGTTTAACAATTATTAAAAAAATGTTCCCACAAGTATTTTCTGAACCACAAGTTATTAAATTTTTCAAAACGAGGTGTACCATCATGTATGTCAAACATAGTAGAGTTATTCGTGTCATTCAAAATGATCCTATCCTTTATAATAGATAATAAGAAATATGTTATATATTATATGTTAATATAATTTGAAAATTAAAAATCCATCAAAAAGTTGTATTTCATCCGATTTTATTATATTCAACAAAATTTATTGTATTTAAATATTAAACAATTCTCACCCTCTTTATTTTATACTTAATACTCACGTGAAAAAAACTTAATTTTTCAGCATAATTTAAAATAAGTCTTGTTGAAATATGGTTTTCTTTGACAATGTAAGAATTAAAAAATATGACTTATAATAGAAATTTACAGATCAGTCTCTTTAATAGATACTTAAGTAATAGTTGAGCCTGAATTATTAAAAAATCCAAATAACAAGATAATATTCAAGTAGATTCCAAAATATAAAATTATAAACTACCTTGAATAAAAAAAAAAAAGAGAGAAGATGTTGTAAAAATCCAAAGTAAAATATTTTTAAACGTCCAAAATAAACTCGAGTTCAAGGCCCTGGTTTTATTTTAATTAACAGTTTAAACCCGGAAAACTAAAACCATTTACTCGTACTGATTTTTTAAATTAATCATTTTTAATAATAATTATAGTAAGCCTATTATACATGTATAATTGATTATATAAAGTCAAGGCCTACATAATTACTTTGATATATTATGGAAAATATTATTCTATAATAGTGCTAAAAATATGAAGTATTTTCTTACCACAAATATTTTTACAATTATAATTTCGAAAAATATTCGTTGTTTGTTATCATAACACATAGTTGTTATCTAAATATTAGCCTGATGAAGTAATCACACAGTTCCACTTGCATATTTCATAAAACTAATTTATAACATTTTGAAATATTGACATTCAATTACATAGAAGATTCGTTATTCTCCACACTGAGTTGATTCCCGGTTTGTTGAAGTGATATAATGGCAATAAATTAATGTAAATTGGTTGAAAATAATTAATGCTAATAATATTAAAATATAATATATTAAAATATATTTAAAATTATAATTATAATTTATAATTATTATCATTGATGAGGATTATACTTGATTTATTTTTTGGTACACTACAAATCTATAATTACCATTGTACTTTATGGACATTAAATTCAACCATCGAATTTTAAGGTCCAGGAAAATTAAAATGAAGTGTATTTATCATTTTAAATAACATAATTTCAGGATTAATTTCGTGTGCACATTTATTTCACGTTTATTATAATGAATTATAATATGTTTCTCTATCTTAAAATAAAAATTGCACATATTTTAATGATGCCAACATTGGTATAAAGGATGAACTAAGAAATATTAAATCTTAATACATTATTTGAACCAGTCATTTAAGATACCTCACAAGTAAATGTTTTGGTAAAATCTTATTATTATTTATGATTCAGGTGATGTTGATACACATTCCATTAAATTTTTACTATAATTATATAATACCCTGCAGGTCAAATGATATCATTCAAGTCCATCGTGTGTGTATTTTTTAAATGTCTTACTTAGTGTTCACGCGTAAAAATAAAACTTTTTACAATAACTGATTATACCAAATATTTGCCAAAAATCTTAAAAGTTTCTAAAAATAAGTAGACAATTTATGATTGATTTTTTAAGTATTATGAAACAGATATTTCATTGTATTAGTTAATATTACTTTTATTTAAAAATAAAAATATAATTATAATAAATAATTAAAAAAAAAAAAATTATAATATTACCTTGAGGTTGTCCTCCACTGAATTTCTGAGGTGATGACAAACCTGGTGCTTGTCCAAACTGGAATGGTTGTGCTGCAGCAGTAGTCGAGTCAAAACTAAAAGCTCCTTTAGGTTTTGCAGGTTGTGAAGCAGCAATAAAGCAAATGTAGATGGGTTATTAGATGTGTTTGAATTACCAAATTGAAAACCTCGATTGGCTGTAGTCCCAATGTGTTGGTTGAAGTAGAAGCTATGCTGCCAAATGTTGATGTTGATTCAGGAGCAGCAGTATTTCCAAATGGTGAAGGTTGTGAAGGTGCAGTGTTTCCAAATGACACAGTAGGCTGAGTTGAAGATTTACCAAAGCCACTAAATCCTCCAGAAGAATTAAATGTATTTGAGCTTTGACCAAACTTAATTGGGCCACTGTCATTTTTATTGGAACTAAACTGAAATGCATTAGTAGAAGCACCAAATTTAAATGGTTCAGTTTTTGTCTCATTTCATTGCTGAACTCGATTGGTTGATTTGGTGAAGTAAATGTACTTCCAAATACAGCAGGCTTTTCACCACCTCCAAATTTAAAAGAAGCAACAGCAGCAGTTTGATTTCCAAAGGACGATGATGATAACTGAGATTTCTGGTCATCTGTTTTTTGAGCATTTAACTGAAACGCTGGTTTATCTCCAAAACCTTGAGTTGTTGAGTTAGCAAATGATGGAACAGTCTTAGCAGCAGAAAATTGAAAAGCATTGTTAGTTGTTTCTGTTGGCTTTTCATTGGTTTTAGTACTAGAAGTATTAAATTGAAATACAGGATTATCTGTATTACTACCAAAAATCATGGTAGGGTTTGATGAGGCTGGTTTAATGTCCATGTCTTTTGTAACCATGTTACCAAAGCTTGTACAGAAATAATTACAGAATTTTACTCTTATTTATAACTTACTATTATTAAAAATGTATAAGAAAAAATACCCTCTTTAACAGCATTATTCTTTTTTTGTTCTATTTTCTCAATACTTGTGAAAGGTGTAGGTTCTGGCTCATCAAATACTTCATCTAATACACTTTTTATACTAATTCTTTTAAAAACTTGTGTTTTTCCACTTCTATTGAATATTCTACTAGGTGCAACTATTACAAGATCTCCAGCTAAATCAGTTCCTGTAGATTTGTCAATTTGAATTGACTTATTATTATCGTCGGTTAATAATACTGTTGAACCAAAATAAGTACAACTTTTACAATGTTTTCGGCAAGGAGAATCATCACCCTCTGGGTCTAAAAACAGTAAAGAAATTTTTTAAAACAAAAAACTTTTTATTAACTTAAATATTAAAATAATTTTAGTAAACTAACCAATAGGATATTTTTTTTTCTGTCTTGATGACTGAAGAAATTTGCTTGAACTATAAGAACTCAAAATTTCATTATTGCGAGTTATAGGTTTTTTATATGAATGATGACTATTAACATCAGTATCACTCTGTCTCTTATTTCTAAAATGAAAACAGAATACATATTAATATTTAATCACGCATAATTATTAATTAGGAACTCAAAAATTGCTCATTATTGCCAAAATCTGCTTCCAAATTAGATCTATTCACAATTCATACAGATTAATATTCTACAAAAAATATAAAAATAATAACTGTAAAAATCAAAAAATTATTTTTAATAAATAATAGATATTTTAGAGTTTTATTTTTGTACCTCTTTTTTAAGTTTTATAAACAACTATTTTATTCATTAAAAATAAAAATCATAGCAATAGTAACTTTAAAATTTTGATAAACCTAACAAATAAATATTTATTAATAAATGTATATGAACCATTAAAAATCATTTTTTCTTGGTTAAAAATAAGGCAACTTATTTTATAATTATATGTTACTAAATATATGTTAAAATAATTATTAAATACTGGGAAAATACTGAAGTCTATTAAAATATTAAAATTTCATATAGTTAAAATGTTAATTATTGTTATATTATAAACCCTCGACCAAAGCTAAAAATTATATTATGCAAAAAAACTTTCCTAAATTAAAGAGTTATTTTGGTAATTTTTTAATAAAAATAAATATTTTGTAATTTTTTTTTTCATAGTTATACATTTTAACAGATTATGTTGTGTAGTATCACATTTTAATACATGTATTAATTAATACTTATATTTAATGAAATATATCACCAAATCAGTGTTCCCGCGTGGATAAGATGAGTAATAAAATAATACCCTTACACAAGATTTAACCATCCTATTACGCATTCCATAAAACGCCCACGTAAAAGATTCTATCACATTAATCAATCAAATACAGCAAAAAATATTTCAAGAATCTCACCAGAGATGGCTAAACCAGTTTTGCGGGCTATAAAAAGGCAATTTTTCCCCAAATTCCGGGCTTTGCTTCTCTTACAGTGGTTCTTTTACTGCATGATTCTTTCGCGGTTTCTGAATATCCCTCTAGCGGACATTGGGTTCACTTGCCATTCTATCTCTGCATCTCTACGGCTCTCTGCAACTCTCAACCAAGATACACAAAGTGAATGTGTGTGAGTTTATGTTTCATTCTTAGTTACAATTCTATATAAAATCTGCACTATTTTTACCCTCTTTCGTAATTACTGAAAATATTATACATCTTATTTTCTGTCGAATACTTTTGGTGATATAAATATTCTAACACATATAAAATATTGGTGTTTATTTATTTATTTTTATCTACATTTATATATATATATATATATAAGCATACTAAAAGGTTACATGACTAGATTGCATAGTGTTCTATTACTTATTGAAGCGCCACATCCTGGCTGGACAGAGTACTAGCACAATAATATCATAGTTAATACTCCAACTAATTATAAGCGTTCTCTAAAGTGTCTCTCCACTTATCGACTAGCTAGTCTAATCTCTGCCACAGTGCCGGCAATCGGAGTGTAGGACACTTATATAATTTATAACGCATTACATATTAATATTATTTCGTAATATACATTAGATATTCTAAGGTACTTGATTTGATTGAATTATATCTATTAATTATTGAAGGACCACAACCTGGCTGGACAGGGTACTAGTACAATAATATCATACTTAAAATTTTAGTTAATCACAAGATTTCTTCAAAATGTCTCTCCATTTATCGACTAGCCAGTCTGATCTCTGCCACAGTGCGGGCCATCGGAGTGCAGGACACTAACATAACTTATCGTGCATAAATCTATAGTACAGTCGCATTTAACCTAGGTCGTCCTACAGGTGATTGAAAAGAAGTAAGCCACATATCATAAGGGTCTTTGCATAAAGACAAAGATATTATTTGAGATCTCACGTTGGTATATCCAGTTACGGAATACAAATAAATCAGAGTCAAAATATTATACTAATCAAATAAACAACTAAAAAGTGTCTCTCCACTTATCGACTAACTAGTCTGATCTCAGCCACAGTGCGGGCAATCGGAGTGTAGGACACTAGTATAATCTATTGTGCGAAGAACCGAAATTGAGCTCGCATCTACCCTAGATCACTCTTTGGACGACTGAAAATACGAAGGCCACTTGGAAATAGTTTGTTGCACAGGACAGTTATGTTAATTGAATTTCTTTATTTGCTTTATAAATTATTAAATAATAAATATATTAAGGTAAAACACCATATACAAGGTTTGTTTCGGCGTGATCTCTTACTACTAAAAGATCTTCGATAAAATTAAATGAAACGTAAAAGAATGAAAAAATAGATATGCGTATATTAAATGTACGCGAGCGGTACGGTTTACAAAGATAGACTAACTGATTTTAAAACCGGACAACTATGCAGCCGCCTATCAACGATATGATAAAACAACAATAGCTACACTTATTGTGTAGGCCTAAACACACCGCCCGCCTTGAAATATTTGTTTCAAAGTAAAAGATAACAAAAAACAAGTATAATCTAAGAACAAATTTCGCAACAACTAATAACGTATAAGGTAATACATAAATACAAAAAAAATTAATATACAAATAATAATTAGAAACAAATTCATTATGGAAAAATTAATGATTAATCCCACATGGGATATGACACACACATATATATATATATATTACAATAACTACGAATTATAAGAAATTTAAATAAATTACAAACTGGCTACAAACTGTTGCCTTCAAAAGGTAACGGACATAATAACCTGACCGCTCGTGAAAACTCGCCGTTGTTAGTACTCTTTGTGCCACCGTTTCCAAAGTACTTGGGTGTAATGGGAGACTATTCTCCACCTATTTAAGTGAGTAATAGGCGTGGTCGTCTCATCCTTTTCCGGTATGGCAGTCATTATATCGCCAATTAAAAAATGACCTGGCGTGAGGTAAGTTAGATCAACCGGATCAGAAGATACTGGAGTTATTGGTCGCGAGTTAAGTACAGCTTCCACTCTCGTTAGTACAGTTAATAATTCTTCGTACATGAGCCGAGCCTCTCCCAAAACGCGATATATTAAACTTTTCATGCTTTTGACCGCCGCCTCCCAAAGCCCACTGAAATGCGGTGCACGGGGTGGTATAAATCGCCACTTAATTCCTTTGTCTGCTAGATGAGAGAAAACGGATCGCTGATGTTCTGGGGACTGGAAAAGTGCGTATACCTCCTTTAAATGCCGACGCATACCCACAAAATTTCTGGCGTTATCATTGTAAATTATTGAACTTTTGCCACGTCGATCAAAAAATCTGTTCAGCGCCTGTAAAAACGTCTTCGTTGACAAATCGCTCACGAGTTCGATATGTATCGCCTTTGTCGCGAAACATACAAATATGCTAATGTATCCTTTGTTACATGGTGCCTTATGACGCAAGCTCGCTTTTATCATGACTGGACCCGTGAAATCTACACCACATATGGAAAATGCTCTTCCACTCTGTACCCGTGACCCAGGCAGACTTCCCATGATCGGTTGTACTATTTGAGGTTTTAGTTTAAAACAATTAACGCAATTGTGTACTATAGCACGAGCTAAACTTCGCGCTTTTAAAGGCCAGTAGCGCTGCCTAATAGAGGCCACCAAGGCTTGAGGTCCACTGTGCATCAAATCCATGTGTTCTTTACGGAATAATAATTTCTTGTAATGACAGTTATCCGGCAATACAATTTGATGTCTCTGATTGTCATTCAACGCCATAGCGTATTTTAAACGTCCTCCGACGCGTATAATATTATTTCCATGAATATATGGACTAAGACGCAGTAGTTTACTTTTCTTTGACATATTCGCATTTGCACTATTTAACTCTCTCGATTCTTGCCGAAAATGTGCGCGTTGAATTATTTTGATGATTGTCGTATTTGCTCTATCTAGTTCGTTTACCGTTAACGGCCCATTATTTTTATCACCTATTGCTCAATTCATGTTATACCGCCAGCAAAGACAATACGCCGTCACTCTGATGATAAATAATAACGACGACCTTCTAGATAACAACGAATAACATTTATCGTACGCTACGCATGCGACCGTCGTAATTGTTGTTTCGTCCGTATTTTTGGCTTATAATATTATAGGGCTGCGCACAATTCTAGTCGAGGCAGCGATATTGTTTTTATGGGCGCGAACTTGGACTTCGCTTGTAGTAAACGCACCGTGTGATGACCGTTTTCGTCCGTACTTTTAATGTAAACACATGCACCATACGCTCTGATAGATGAATCGGCAAAACCGTGTAGCTGTAATTTGACGATTCTATTTTCACATAGTATATATCTTGGAATACTGAACTTATTCAATGTTGTTAATTGTGCACTATAATTACGTCATTCTACGGCGACTTCCGCCGAAACGGGTTCGTGCCAACTGAGTTGAATGCACCACAAACGTTGCATGATAATTTTTGCAACAACTAACACCAGCCCGAGCAAACCAAGGGGATCAAAAACTGTGGCTATATTCGATAAAATTGTTCTCTTTGTTATATCGTTATTATTTATTATGTTTTCACGTACTGTATATTTAAATGAATCCGATGGTGGATCCCAACACAGGCCTAATATTTTCGCCGTGTCGTTATCGATAATACGCGGACCGTCACTATCTTTATTGTGTTCGGCAGATAATAAACTACCTATTAAACTATTATCATTCGATGCCCATTTCCGTAAATGTAGACCGGCATCTTTCATTACGGCAATAATATTGTCTCGTAATGTTATTGCCTCTGCCCGTTTTATTGCACCGCCTAACCAATCATCCACATAAAAATCGTTAACTAATGATTGACACGCGTCAGGATACCTACTGAATTCACATTCAGCTAACTTTTCTAGGCAAGCTGTTAACAAATAACTTGCGCTTATTGTACCGTACGTCACAGTTCGTAGGCGGTAGATTTTCAATGGCCCATTTGGATTATCACGCCAGAAAATTCTCTGATAATCACGATGGCTCTCGTCTACCATTATATGTCGATACATTTTTTCGATATCTGCCGTTAGTACATATTTACACATGCAAAATCGAGTCAGGATGTAAAGCAGATCGCCCTGTATAACAGGCCCTTTTAATAGCACGTCATTCAGGCTAATAACCGAGTCGGTTTTACATGACGCATCAAAAACGACTCGATGCTTCGTGGTTGTGCTATTATTATTTACGACGGCATGATGTGGTAAATAATAACAATCAGTCTCCTTTTCTTTTGACTCCTCATCAGTCACAAGTTCCATGTGTCCTAGTTTTTCGTACTCGTTCATAAATTTTGAATACTCTGCTCGTATATCGGCATTTGCTTGCAGACGACGCTCCAACGATAAAAATCGCCTTTTTGCCGTTTCATATGATTTACCCAATTGCCTTACGTTACTTTTAAATGGCAATTGTACCACGAATCTTCCATGTTCATCGCGCTGAACTGTTCGATCAAAATATTTCTTGCACGCTTTTTTTTCTAATGTCCACGCATCTTTTTCTGTGTACTCGTCCAAACGCCAAAACTTGGCCAGTATATTTTCTAGTGATTGTTTAGAATTGTCATTCACCGTGAGGAAAACCGCCGTTTGTTGACTCATACTATTGAGCTGACTTTCCGATGAACCAGCAACCATCCATCCGAACTTTGTTTCCTGAAATACAGGACCGCCTGGCCGTGGCTTTATTTTCCCTGCACACATTAAATCATAGAAGTGACCCGCTCCTATTAATAGGTCAATTTTCTGTGCCACGGTGAAACTCGGATCCGCTAAGACTATAGCTTTCGGCACCACGCAGCTATCATTTAGTCGGATGCCTGGTAGGTTACGCGTAATGCTCTTAACTACTAAACATGAGAATGTTACTGAATAGTCATTTAAACGGGAGTTGGCTGCAACCATAACTCGAGATTTAATCCTTTGTACGTTTCCACCAATTCCTTGGACGCTTTGGTCGAAATGGGTTTTCGGTAACCGCAAAATCTGTGCCATACGTTCGGTTATAAAGTTACTTTGTGATGCAGAATCCAGTAACACGCGACACTGCTCCCATTCATCACGATTACTCTTGACCAAAACAACTGCGATTGGTAATAATATCGACTTAGCAGCCGGTAAGTTAGTATGTGCACTAACGGTTGCTAATTCATTTTAATTAACTACTTGTTTTGACTCGTTATTTTCCGTTACGTTTGTTGTTGAGTTGGACTCTGACTGATCGATCCGTGCACTTAAGTGTAAAAGTGTATTATGTGGCTTGCCGCACTTAAAACAGCCTCGAGCCAAACATTTTTTCTTAGGGTGTGTCTGTAGACAATTCCTGCATAAATTGTGCTCAATAATGCGCTTAATGCGTTCAACTACTGACAAGGCCAAAAGACTAGGACATCGATACACCGAGTGATTTGACAATTAAAGCATTTTTTGTCCGAATTTGTCACCGCATAAGCATTGTTCCGTACCATAGATTTTCTGACATCTTGACTATGAGTAGCCGGTGCTGTTGCGTTTCTCTGATTTATGACTTTAGATGATTCAATCTCTTCTAAAATTTTAAACCGTTTTTCTAAAAATTCTACCAATTCGATAATTGTAGGAAGAGCGTCCTGAGCCGATTCCGTTTCCCACCCTCGAAGACAACTTCTATCTAACTTGGTGGTTACTAAATACGTTAACATAGGACTCCACGACTTTGGCTCTTGATCAAGAGTCCTTAATGCTTGCATGTGTCCTTTTACTGAGTCTGTAAACGCTCGAAGTTTAATTGCTGATTCTACTGTTAACGTCTCTAAGTGAAATAACGCTTTTACATGGGCTTGTATTAGACTTTTTTTATTGTTATATCTTTCAATTAATGTCCGCCATGCCACTGCGTAATTTGAAGCCGTCGTTTCCAAACAATTACCAGTCTGTTTGGCATCGTCTTTTAAAGCCGCTTTCAAATAAAAACATTTTTGTTTTCTGACAAATGGTCATTAATGCCGAAAAAATATCATGAAATTTTGTCCATTACTTATAGTCGCCATGAAATGATGAGATATCTAGCGGGGCTAATCTAATAGCTGGCGCTGCTTTTGTTGAAGATGTTGCTGCTGTATTCCCCACAACAGCGTCTGACATGTTGCTGACTACCCTACTCAATTCAGATAGCCTCTTCTCCGCAATCGTACTGGTTTTAAAGTATGAGTCTTCAAAATCAGCTATATAATTTTGCTGTTCCTCTACGTTTATCCCTTCTAGCATGTCGATTTCCAACTGTACTTGGTCGAACTCGCTCCATGCTTCCTCAATTTTTTCTCTTCTAAGCCAAATTTCGATTAGGTCCGACTGTTCATCTTGAACAAACTTTAAAAATTTGGTCAATCCCGATTTTAATTGACCTCTCCTTATGCTCAATTGCGTAACTTCATTTTTGAACCGTATAAATATAATTGCGTATATTAATGGATACACGTATACATCGATAATTGTTACATCAACTACATCATTCATCTCAAGAGAATATCTGCCTTATCAGGATAGTCAGAGGTAAGTGAAACATTTGTTTATATAATAAGTCTATAATAGATCCTTTACTGAAGAATTTTTAGTAATAAACAATTAGAACAAGATAGGTCATTGAGAATAAACTAAAATATTTTTACAAAGAAATACGATACTTGTGACTCGCCGGAAATTAGTGTACGCGTTTCTGTGCAGGAGTTAGGTAGTGACCCTTCTTTATAATTCCATATTATTCACATATTAGACGTCTTTACACAAGCATTCATACCCCGAGATCCCTTTCTATTTCATTTTATTGTAGTCACTGCCCGGTATCTATAGCCACTTTTACTTTCCATTGCTGCCCATCCTTTTTACACTACGCCCGCTACTATTATTATTTCCTCATTGGTTACCTGTGTTACATTTCTTTCCTTTCACACCTAACAACATCCCTTTGCTACCGCCACTACCATTTTACTTCTTTTTGTTTATTACAGCTGATGGTGTTTCATATTTTTAATATATTTTTTTTAGAACCAAATACCAACACAAAAATCAAAATTTTACTATCTAGTAGGCAAGCTTTTGTATAACTTAATAAAAAATTTATTATATCATAAGTCAAATTATTACCATAATAGTTAATTTATGGATAAACTAATTTTATGATTTCCTGTACATATTAATATAAAAAGTATTTTCAATGTTTAAAAAAGTAAATTATTATAAGCTTACTGTTTTTTATCAAAAATAACATAATTATTCTTTGGTGTCATAAATGGTGAATGTGAAATTTCTCTATTTGTTTTATCTATACCATTAATTCGGTCAATTGATTCAATAGTTTTTGTACGGCAATTTACAAAATTATCAAAATCAAACTATTAAAAAATAATTAATTTTAGTATATTTATGATAAATGTCTTTACTTTATCAAATTTTATTAACATAGAAGTATACCTCTTGGCTAGTTCTGTTTCTTACACCAAAATTTTCTAATGTTTTCCTTAATTTACGCTTTTTATCATTAGGATTTTCTCTACCTAAATTTTGAAACTCATGTGGAGAAGAATTACTGTTACTAGAATTGTTTCTAAAAAAAGTTATTTGTCAAANCGTGGAAAAGAATTACTGTTACTAGAATTGTTTCTAAAAAAAGTTATTTGTCAAATTAAAAGTATTTCCTATTAAGAAATTTAATTATGTATCAAATATTATAAGAGGAACTCATGA